TTAAATGATAAAACGGAATTTTATGAAATCATATTAGCATTACTGGAGAATTTTTTTTATACTTTTAAGATTTTTTTTTCTAAAAATAAAACTATAGATAGCATTTTTATAAAATATCTTTTTTAATAGTAACACACAATTTTATGTATAACCATATAATCATTCATTTATGTTGTCAGTACATAATAAAATCCATGGGGGACCTTAAACACAATAGAGAGCAGTACAAATGTACGTATGAAACTATTTTGCTCCTTTAATGTCCAGGGTATGTTAAAAAAATAGAAATTATGATAATGATAAGCTACAGTGTTTTACAAAAACGTTTAATTTCGCAAAAATATAAAAAATGTTCTCCCGGAAAATACGCCATGTTGCTATACGTAGCAGTTTCTATACGTTGGATTTCTATAAGGTTTGACGCCGTTTATTTCTTTTAAAAAATTTGCGGGGGGCTAAGCCCCCCTGCAGCCCCCCTCGCTCACTACGTTTGGCTTGGTACTATACCCTTGTTGACACAAATAAAAGAACACACAGGGATATTCGGTAACTTTATTGAATAATAGCATGAAATGAGAAATAAAAGCAAAGTTTAAAAATATTGGCCCTTAATTGGGAGCATCTAAACGGTTGAAAATGAAATAACATTGATTAATAGTGTTGAAAGGAAAGGAACAGTTGGAGCTTCATGATGGTCAGCTCACAGGTGTCAGCATCTTGGCAGCAAAGGGTTCACATCTAGGCGACGGTCCTGGAGGGTTTGCAGTCTGGAACATGTGTAGGGAGGAACTTGAATTGCCTCTCAACCCCGGGACATGCGACTGCTTTGTGGATTTGGACATGATGGACGCTTAGACATTAGCAGCATTTGTTGCTAGAGTAGACATCGGCGGCAGGATGAAGGAGTTAGTAGTTCCTGATCAGAGGTGTTCACATCTCGACATTCTAAAGCTAACTGACGCTGTTCCCCACAAGTAGAGGCGGTAAGGGGGGGGGGAACATGAGGAGACACATTTGGAGCGGATATAGTATTATAGTATTGTGAATCTTCCGCGGTCAACTTCGCTACACAGTGGTAATCGTCTTCGTGTTTTCTTGAATTTGTTAACAACCCTATATTATTCAGACTTTGACCCCCCTTTCTAAAAAGTTGGATCCGCCCCTGATAATAAGGACGTATATACTGATAATAATGACGTATGCAATTATAATATGGACGTATATACTGCTACTAAGGATTTGTATATTGATAATGAGGACTGCTAATAAGGAGTAATTACTCATGTTAAGAACACACTGTTCTAAGTATATGACACATTAAGACACGAAAAAGGGTGAAACACTTTTATCATTAAAAAAGAACTGCCACATATATAAAGTATGAATTTAAGTCTTAAATATTAACCGGGGAACTTGGGAAAACCACGGGAATGTTCTTAGTTTGGTTTTAATATTCTAAATTGAAATGGTCCACTTTGAGATGGAAAAATAGCTAAAATCGTAATTTACGATCAAAAGCGCGGGTAAACGGCAGGAGTGTCTACAGAAGAATTAAATATTTCCATTTACTGATAGCGCCGATTGAATATTCATTATCTAATTGGATAATAAGATAGAAAGGAAGATAGATGTTACCGCCAAACTATTTCTATTGGTTGAGAGTAGACATCAAACACATGACTGAACCCTGATTGGATCAGACGCTAATGGACTCGGCATGCAGGAAGTGAGGGTGTCTCTGGAAAATGTATGTTTAGCTTTTTAGCCTACTAAATATCGTTAAAATGTGCTAAAAAGTGCTGTATTCATGCACAATTCTACTAATTAGGGGTCATCAATGAAATATTTTCTATAACTGGCCTTTTTAACCTTCAAAAACGGACCTATTATTCGAAAATGTGCTCGCGGTCGTCATTTTCAAAGATTTAAAAAAATTCAAATTATGATTTAATTTTTACGTTTTATACGACAGAATAGAATACAAATTTAACATTTTTAATGATATAATTGAGGATTTTTCAAATTAAAAGACGATCAAAGATTTCAATTTTTTTGAAAACTATAACGGTATCTTAGAGCAATTTCGTTCAACAACATTGAGTTTAAAAAAAATCAATTTAAACTTTGGCAGTGGCATACAATAAACTGAACTTCATTAACATTTCAGTCTCTATTGCTGAGATAATTGAATTAAAACTTCATTTTTTATTTTATAATATTCACGTGATAACCAGAAAACTGGCATAGAAAGACGATTTTTAGACTCTGGGTCTGCTTTAACTTAAAGATTGTTGCTTTGTAACGACATCATCATTTATACTGTAATGTTGTCTTCCTGCACCATAGTTTTCTGGTTCTCAGTCTCACTGTAACAAAATATCTAATTTTGAATCTGACAATCATAATATTATCATATTAGATTAGTAGCTTGACCACAAGAAACCTGAAAATGTTTTAAATATTGAAAAAAAATAATTGAACCTGGATTATTTTAAAATTTACAGAGATAACTTCTATCCATTTCCATTCTTGTATCTGCTGCATAAATTTGTAAGTCCAGTTCAAAATTATTGGAAAAGCTTTTTGAAAATCAATTCCGTTGCACGCAATTCCGTGCACTTCCGCCCAATTCCGCGCAATTTTGTGCAATTCTGCGCAATTCCGCGAATATTTAATTGCTTCCTTCCAAAATTGGGAAACTCGGAATTGAACCATAGGAATGTTCTGAGCTGCAGGTTTAAGGATTCTAAGCTCAGTGGGATCATCTTTTCAGGAAAGTACAGTTTTCAGTTAAAGCCGGGTTTTCAAGCTAGTACGATACAAGTATACTGCTTTCTCAGACTCTCAGTATCACACTGTAATATCGTGATATACTATGTAAATACTACGTCAACCGATTTTGTTGAGTAAACATATGAATATAAAAATAAATTATAATATTATAATATTTAATATACTCAGAGCGGAAAACTTGAGAATGGTGGATATCGAGAGCAATGCTTGATCCTCTCTTTTTCATAATCTCAAGACTAATTTAGTCCTCAGATTTATTTCTTGAGATTAGAGATGCGCTTTTTAACTTTTGAAAAACCGGTTTTTAATCTTCCCGCATTCTAAGAATTCCTTGAAATACGTCATTAAGCCGTGCATGAATATATTTGTAAATCATTTCTAAACTTGTTTTGTTTTGGTTTGCATTATTGTGATTAGTTTGTCCTCTTCATGGTGAACATAAACAGCATATCTCTATGCACAATTTTCTGGACATATCCAGCAAGATTTCTTTAGGTCATGGGAGGCCCGCTACAAAATTTTGATTTATCTCTTTATAATTTGTTTTTAATACATGTTTTGCAATATCTAGATTCGAGTTATTTAATGGCTGACCGGCAAAAGAGAGGTTGTTAATCATGTAAAAGCTGAAGTGCCCAGCGTTGACTAGGATTCTCATAGTGATCGGTCACGTTATTCATGAGTTATTGATCGGACATACAAATAAACAGAGATTACCACTTTATATATTATGATGCATGTAAAAGTGTCTTCTTGACTTTTTTCAGAGTATTTTTGAGTATTTCACTTTGCCCCCTTTTTCCAATCTTTAGAATAAGATGGCACAGTATTAAGGTCAATTTTAATTCGAACCGGCCTCCTTCGTTGCGCCACTGATCTGACCTACCCCATTAGCTTAGTTTGTTGTTATGGGCATATATGCCGCAATATCTCTATTTACCTTACAGACGTACGTATAGCTGGAATATATTTAATTACTTTGTACATGATTTATAGTGTATAACATAATAACAGGTGTTTAAGCTGGATTACGCCAGTATATCTTCCTATATTATATTATCAGTTGAAGTAGAAACTCACACTAGTACACAATTCTATATATATATATATATATATATATATATAGTTATACAAGGATAATGACACATCCTTGTGAAAACGTTAAATTAATAGTAAACTGAACGTAAAATTGAAATCTTAAATGTTAAAGGCTCAGTGTAAATTACGTCGACAGTACCTACTACCTAGTCAGCATTTTATGCATATTTTATAATGGGAATAGGATTTATTTTTTACAGGATGTCCTACGAAACATACCAGTAGCAAGATGACTTGAATTTGTCTTAGATCTTTGAATTTACTTGCGATATTCAGTCGTTAACTTTCTTTAATATTTATTAAACACTAACCACAAAATTCTCCTAGTCATGGCATCTCCAAAATTTGGTTAGCCTTTTGTGCTTTAAATATCAATCGAGATATTAAGAATTTCGTTCAGGTTTCTGTTTTGTTACAGTTAAACCCTAAATGAGCCATACATCGAAAGAATTTATCAATTGTCATCTTGACAATTTGTCAATAGATTTATACTGCAACATTCCATTATCAGAAATTGAAGAATACGACATCTGATGAATTCTTTTGATGCATGGCTTATTTAGGGTTTAACTGTAAATAAAACCAAAATTGTCGAAATCTGAACGGAATATTTCATATCTAGGGTAATATTGAAAGTACAAATAAGGCATTTTGTTAATGCCAGGGCCCGGACTAGGGGTATTTAAAACCAAGGCCCAGGACTAGGGGCAATTAATGCCAGGGCCCAGAACTAGGGGTATTTAATACCAGGGCCAAGGACTAGGGGTATTTAATGCCAGGGCCCAGGACTAGGGGTAGTTAATGCCAGGGCCCAGGACTAGGGTTAGTTAATGCCAGGGCCCAGGACTAAGGGTATTTAATGCCAGGGCCCAGGACTAGGGGTATTTAATACCAGGGCCAAGGACTAGGGGTATTTAATGCCAGGGCCCAGGACTAGGGGGTATTTAATGATTATTAAATCTAAAATTTTACTCCTAAATGTATGGAGACAAATAAATGCAGCAAATTATATAAAAATCAAAGACAACCTTCAAGTCGTCTTTGCTACTGTCAAGTTTCGTGGAACACCCTGTATATAGCCGTATAGGCGATTATGTTTTAAATTCTTATTAGTTATTTGGACTTTTTAGATGATAACTTCAACAAAATGACCAGTGAAAAATGGAGACCGAGACCTCTAAATTTAAGGTATATATGATTTATCAAAATTCAAAAAAATTTTATTCACAATGTGTCCAAAGGTCTAAGGAAGGGAAAAAGTACTCAAATCGATAAAAAAAGGAACTTACATCTGAAAAATGTAAATTTTTTTTTTAATTAATTGTTTTTTAAATAGTAAAAATTCTTAGAAGGAGGTTAATTAAATCTCAGTCAGATTTTAATACATTCAACATAAATATATCTCAAGCAAAAACACTAAATTATAATTTACTATTGTTGATGATTATATTTGTTAATATCCCCCTACAGTGATTACCCCCCTACAGTGATTACCCCCCTACAGTGATTACGTGAAAAACCCGTAATAAGAAGTCGACTTTTAGACGCAGTCAAGTGATGACTTAAAAATAGTCCAATGAACTTGAGGCACAGCAACTGTGTAGTGTAAACAGACCCATTTCATTTAATTATTGGTTTTATAACTTGCTAGTAAAGCTATTTGCTTTGTAACAACATAGAATGCACTTCAGTAATGCATTAATGTCGTCTTCCCTTTATACAGTTTTCGGGTTATCACTGTAGAAAATAATATACCCCCCCTCCCTCCATATTCGCACCATATTGTCAAGTAGGCAGGCAATGGAACTTTCATCAGGCGTTAAATTTAGGTTTTCCATTATTCCTGAAAAATAATTCCATTTAGAATTGGAATGATTATGTGATTTGTTCCGTAAAATGGAATTTCTGGGAAAATTTCCAGATGAAATGGAAACCAGAATTTTTCCGGTTTATGTTACGTTACCGGATTTTTTTCCAGTTTACCAAATGGAAACCGGAAATTTTTGGAACCCTGTTCCGAAAAAATTCAGGTTTTCTTTAACAAACCAGACAAATTTCCGAGGTTCATTCCGTAAACCAGAAAAATTCCAGTTTACATTTTGTAAACCGGAATAATTTCCGGGTTTTGTTAAGTAAACTGGAAATTCATATTCCCATTCCGGTTTCCAGTCTGGAAACCGGAATGGGAATATGAATTTGTCTACATTTCTTGTTTTCTATAAGACGTAGACTGCATGTATATCCATAAGAAATTATAAAAATAATGTTGAATTAAACAAAAAAAAATTTCGACATTTTTACACTCCGACTACTTTTCCCTTGGGCCATGTGAGTTGCCTCACAAATTTTGGGCTTTGTCGGTTCAGCTGTTTTGACATTTTTGGGAACAAACGGACAAACACCAAGACGAGCAAAGTACAGGGTGTCCCACGAAACATGACAATAGCAAGACGACTTGAAAGTCGTCTTTGGTATTTGAATTTATTTGTGACATTTAGTCTTCTATCTACTTTAACATGTATGATTCTTGAAACAACTTTCACATGATTCTCCTAGCCCTATAGTATTTAGATAGTATTTAGATAGTATTTAGATAGTATTTAGATAGTATTTAGATAGTATTTAGATAGTATTTAGATAGTATTTAGATAGTATTAGATAGTATTTAGATAGTATTTAGATAGTATTACTTAATGGTTTTATCTTTTACATAAGTTTAAGATGTTTCTAACGTTTTTCCGGAACATTTTCCCGGAAAATTCCGGAATGATTTTTCCGTAAACCGAAATTTACCGAAACAATATTCCGGGACGTTCCAGAATTACGGAGTAGGGTTACGGAAATTTACAGATAAAAAGTCGTTCCGGAATTGATCCGGAAATCGGAATTACGAAACCTTTTCCAGAATGGAAATAGAAAAAATTGTAATTTGTAAATGTATCTATGTATTATTTTGAAACTTGGTTAAAACTGAAAAATACATTTTTTCTTTTTTCTTATAGTTGTGGAGTATGTGGAGGTCCTTCAACAGCAGTTAAACATTATGGTTCAGTTTCTTGTTTCTCCTGCAGGTAAAGGGTTTCCAAATTTTCGTTCAATCTTTTTCTCTAAAGTTTCGTTCAGCTGCAACGAAAATGGGAACCAAAACAAAAATTTTCGTTCATTTTTGCAAATATTTAGGGTTAAAAACGTAAAGATTTCAAGATCAGGCAGTTAATAATTGTTCATTTTCAAAAGCTATAATTGATAATATAATTAATACGTCCAAATCACGTGACCAGATTTCCCACCAATGGCAGCGCAGTATCATTGTCACATGTCTCCGTCATCATCTCGTTGTTAATTTCAACTAATAAAAGGGGCAAACCTGAGTTTTTCAGGCTCCTCGGGGATATCGTCGTTTTCAGATTGATTGCGTATTTGCTGAATATGATCTGCTTAAAATCCAGTTTGATATCAATTCCTCAAGCTAGAGAGGAACATGCAATAGAAATCTTATAGCAATTCCTCAAGCTAGAGAGGAACATGAAATAGAAATCTTATAGGTCACAATCAACTCCTAAAATGCGAAGGTTTCAGCCAATACCCCGTTTCTTTTGCCAAAAACATAAAAATTCTTTTTAGAGCATTTTTCCGACGGACAGTTGGAAACGGGAAGGTGTTTTCCTTCTGCTCTAGTGGATCAGACAACTGTAGTGTAAAGGAGAATTCCAGAAATAAATGCAAAAAGTGTCGATATAANCGCTCCCCCCTCCACCAGAATATCATGATATTGACAATAATATAAACTCTGCTTAGAGGTAATATAGTTCATTGATAACTTACGCTCCCCCCTCCACCAGAATATCATGATATTGACAATAATATAAACTCTGCTTAGAGGTAATATAGTTCATTGATAACTTACGCTCCCCCCTCCACCAGAATATCATGATATTGACAATAATATAAACCGAACATGTTTGATTGTTATAAACTTGAAAATTTGGAAGCAACAAATTTTTGTTGCAGGGAAATGTTCGGTAAATACGAGTAATAACAGATAATAAATTCACAGAAATGATTTTGGTATCTATAATGCTTCTCAACCGATGAATATTGTTGAGATTATTTTGTTAAAGGTTAAAAAAATAAGAAAATATATTTTTTTTTTGTATTTCAGATTGGTATGCAGCCGGAGAAAGTAGACAGAGTCAAGCGAAAACACCAAAAAGACAATTCTCCGTCAAAATATGAATTTTCAACAAATCCACAAATTTCAGGATCAAGTACAATTAATTCATTAGAAAGTGATGTTACTTTATCATATTGTGCAGTATCTTCAATGTCAATTGCAATTACTTCATCCACAAGTGCAATAAATTCAGCTTTAGTTGCAATTACCTCCTCGGTAAGTGCTATAGATTCAGCGTCAGTTGACTTTACTTCTCTGTCATGTGCAAAAACTTATTCATTGACTGCAATCACTTCATCGGCAAGTGGAAAATCTTCACATGATCCTGATCAGAACAGTCTGATTGACTACACAATAAATTCTAACACTACTTCTCCACCAAACAATGACGGTATAACTGAAAGAGATAAAAGATCCTCACCATGTGAAAAATCTGACGGGCCTATAACCTCCAAAGCCAATCGCAGTTTTGAAGACATTTCATTTCCATATGAAGAAGTAAACTCACAATTCCAGGATACCTTACGCCCACAGATCTCACAATATAATTATCAGGTATCCACCCAAACATCCTGTAAATAAGAATACAAAAAAAACTTGATTTTTGCTTTTTAACTAAACTAAAACTTCAGACATTTAAATATCATATTTTTAATGGCTTATATGAGAACTCCAACCAACTCTGTTCTAGGATGATGTAATGATTTCATCTCTCGATCATGAATTTTATCCAATCGAGCAAGTTTCCCCAGTTTTGGAAACATCTAAAGATTTTGAGAAAGAAGACTTAGACATTGATGAATCAGTTGATTTCTGTCATGTTGTCAGTGATCAACCTCAACCATTAGAAGTGATCTCAGACCAAAAGTCTGAACTGACATGTTTAGAGACATTGAACCCTAATTTTATCATTCAAACTGAATGTTTGGACAAATCATTGCTCGAACAAGAAGATACATTTGACAATAACTCAGAGGAGAGTGGATGCCTTTGTATAAATCCAGATTTTGGTGAGTATAGTTTTGAACATTCCATATCATTTTCATTTTTAATATCGGGTTCCATTATTTATTTTAAAAACAACATTTTTCTAAGGGATTTATTTCCCTTTCAGAATTTTTCAGTACGCTTTAATGGAATTGGTTCTTATTAACCCATCCGGGAGAAATTTCCTAAATTCCTAATAGGAAATAATCCTGATTCATTTTTTTAAATTTTAAAATACTTAAGTTTTAGAACTGCATGTAATGTAACAAAAACAGTGTCATGTCCCTAGATAAAATACAGTGTAATTGTTCATAAACTGAAATGTGTTTATCAGTAAATATGCAAATATTGTATTGCGAATAATAACCTAACCTAGCTACGTATATAATTATGTACATCAAAACCATATTGTGAACCTCCCCCCCCCCCTATTCATGATTCAATGATTAAAAAAAGGTGCAAAATGTTCAGGGCTTTGCACCCTCCATTATGATATGCATACATCCAGAGATGGTCAAACGGTTTTGATAACATTTTTTATTAGAATTCACAATTGAAGAGGAGTTCCGCATCTATGAGTTGATGGCAAGAAAAGATTTTATTTTGGGAGATAATTTTACAAAACAAATGAAGAACAATAGTTTTGTTCAAAGTTTCCGAAGAATTGTTGAAGATATCTCAGCTGGCAGCAGAATAATACAGTCCTTAGTCCCTTGTCTATCAGATTGCAAGGAACCAACTTCACAAACCTATGCAACTAAACTACAGCAAGGTGAAATACATACAAACTATTTTATGCTATTTTTCTCAATTACAATAATACTATTATTGATTATGGTAATACTGATTATTTATAATGATAATAAGAACAATCTTATCAATTATAATTATAAAAATTATAACAATTATAATATTGAGAACAATGATAATATAAATGATAATAAAAATGAAAATATTGAAAATAATGGTAAAAATAATAATAATAATGAAAATGATGATGATAATTAAAAAATGATAATAATAATAATAATAAATATATAAATAATAATGATAATAATTATGTTAATGAAAGATATAATATTATAATAATACTAATATAATTATGATAACAATGAAAAGGACAAAACTAATAAAACTAAGCATGTTTGAAGTACTTTTCAGTAATGTTATTTTTAAGATTATGAAAGACATAACCTGCTCCTTATATCTGATATGTTTGAGGGTATTCCATTAATCAATAACACATCTATGGATTCTGTTCTTTCCTTTACCTTCCCCGTTTTCCAGCTTTGTCTCAGGTACAGTGGGAACCAGAACAGTCTGGAATAGGAAGACGACTTTTAGACTTTTGTTTTGAATAACTGATCTAATAAGTCACTAGTAAACCTATTTGTTTTGTAGCAACATCAAATACTCTTGTTTCGTCTTCCTATTCCACAGTTTTTATTTTCTCATTGAAGAGGGGGGAGGGGGTCCTTCTCATCAGGAATATAATTTAAATTCACTTTGTGACAAAAATTCATGAATTTTTATTCTAGAAGTTTTATGATTGGTAACAGAGATGCTCCTACACTACTTGATCAGTATAGAGCAGCAGGGCTTTATAATGAAGGTTTGGTTCAGGCGTTGCAGACAATAGGAGACATGTAAGGATTTAATTCAGTTATTTTCAGCCAATCTCTTACTCTTTCTTATTCCAATGCCAATTTTGGTAGTTAAGTTCTATTTTTAGTTTATTGATGGATTAGATTATATTAGATTATATTTATATTCCCCAATTGATCTAAATCTGTTCCACAGTGAGAACAGAAATTTGAGGAATATGAAGACGACATTTTAAGTGTGATGTGTGTTTTTAGAAAAAAAATCTGTTGAATATTGGAACTTCAAAATCACTGATTAAGTGAAATGGGTTGTGTATTGGTTAATTAATTAAACAATTTAAAAGTAATAACTTGAATCTGAATATGAATATGAATATGAATATGAATATGAATATGAATATGAATATGAATATGAATCTGAATATGAATATGATTGGCAAATCATTTCTAAGAAATGCTTTAAGAAGTATCAAAACTTAAGCAATAATGTGTTTTTTTAAACTGTGTTTTTATTTAGAAGTTCGGTTGGAGCGTTTGATCCTCTTAGATTGGATATATTTGAATCTCCTTGGGCTAAATCAAAACTAGATGAGGTAAGAAATAGTTCAAATTCTGATTTAAGTAAAGTAAGACTCTTAAAAGAGCAGAATGGGAAGACAATTAAAGTAATCGTATGTGTATTTGATGTGTTATAAACGGAGGTGATAAAGCAAATGGTTTGATTAGTAGATTTCAAAAGTTAAATTGATAAAAGTGTGCACTGTACACTGAACAAGTTCTATGTTTCATGTTCATTGGACTACAGTGATAACCAGAAAACTCTGAAATAGGAAGACGACTTTATAGCAATACTTTGATGTTGTTACAAGGCGTATAGTTTTACTAGACACTTAATTAATCACTATTGAGTGAAATTGATACTTTACAATGCAAAATTGTGGTATCCAATGCCCATTGGACTATAAAAAGTAAAAAAATAGTCTAAAAGTCGTCTTTCTATTCCGGAGTTTTTTGTTTATCCGTGCATTTTTCGTAACTTCAGTCAAACACTTGTTCGTTTATAGTATTTATATTCTAAACTAGAACCGAACAAATAAATTATAGTAATAAAGTATAAAGTTTGAATTTTACAAAAGATGACAAATAAGTTGCAGATGCGGTAGTTTTCTGTGAACTAAAACAAATTTTTTAATTTAATTCTAAGGGACCCTCTATGCAAAGATGGCAATGCCCGATTTATAACATGAATAAAAATGTGAAAGAAACAGTCCGTTTTCTGACTCGAAAAGTGTTTGATTCTGATAAATTCTCAATTGCTTCGTTTAAAAAAAGAAAAGCACAAGTTACTTTCGTGGAGAAACCGCAAGAGATTATAAAAGTTTAAAGAAACAAACACATGAATATCTTATTAATACTTGATCAGAAAAAAATTTAAAGATACCGCTGTAACTCGAGCAGGGACATTTTTAACTAGAAACTAACTTTAAATTGCGCGAACAGACACTTTAAATGAAACGAACAATAATTTTTGTCAAGATGCTTAGAATTTTACCTTAACAAGGTTCAGTAGATAACAGATTTCTTATTTCAAGATTATTTTTATCGAGACACTTGAGGAAGTTGGCAAATGTATCAAAGACGACATTAAGCTTGGATCCATCTTGGTTTTTCTTGTTCTCTTTATACCAGAGAACAATTCAGCAGATAAAGAGGTATTATTATATATTGTACATTTATTGTATTATTTCTATGTAGAACATATATTTCTGTACAGTAATTAAGAAAAACATCGTACATCGTTATAACAAGTTACTAAATAGTAATGTATGCAAACATAAACTGCTATTTCGAAATAAATATCTTAATCTTTTAATCCTAATTTTTTATCCAATGGAATTATTGATCGCAATAGCTTCGTGCAGGCTTGCAAAATTTCCAACATTACTCATGTTCAAGTTTGCTTTTATTAAACATAGCAAGATTTGTATTCTACGAGAAAATATATTTAAAAAACTAAACCAATAAAAAGTTAAGGCCCATCATGCAGAAAGTGGGACAGGCATATGAAGAATTAAGATTAAACACAGCAATTGTACAGTTTTACTTTGACACAATAAACATGTTATACGTTTATTTTCAAGCTACTGAAATTTTGCTTTTTAACAATATCATTAGATTGCTTCAATGTCGTCTTTATATCCTTAAGTTTGCGGTTCTCACTTTATGTCATTTATGTTATATAAAACTAAAAAAAATTAAGAAAAAAAACTACCCCTGGGATGGATAATATTGGCTTGGGGCACATTCTCATAACAGTTGCTACCCAAGAAGTGGTCGTTTGTACGATTTTTGAAATTCCACGGGACAACGCTGGGCACTTTTTCATTATATATTATCTAAAAAAAAATATCTAGGTGCAGAAACTTCTAGAATTTCTTCAGTCTCACCTTACTCTTCTTCTCTATAGATATCTCAAATTCAAACATAGATCAGCAAATAATGCTGCTCTTCTCCATAATAAGCTGCTCAGGTATAATATAAACTATCTGAATATGCTGCTGTACTCTTCAACAAGCTGCTCAGGTGTAAACTATCTTAATATGCTGCTCTACTCCTTAATAAGCTGCTCAGGTATAAACAATCTAAATATGCTGCTCTACTCTTCAATAAGCTGCTCAGGTGTAAACTATTTAAATATGCTGCTCTACTCCTCAATAAGCTGCTCAGGTATAAACTATTTAAATATGCTGCTCAACTCCTCAATAAGCTGCTCAGGTATAAACTATTTTAATAAGCTGCTCTACTCCTCAATAAGCTGCTCAGGTATAAACTATCTACATATGCTGCTCTACTCCTCAATAAGCTGCTCTACTCCTCAATAAGCTGTTTAGGTATAAACTATCTAAATATGCTGCTCTATTCCTCAATAAGCTGCTCAGGTATAAACTATTTAAATATGCTGCTCTACTCCTCAATAAGCTGCTCAGGTATAAACTATCTAAATATGCTGCTCTACTCCTCAATAAGCTGCTCAGGTATAAACTATTTAAATATGCTGCTCTACTCCTCAATAAGCTGCTCATAAATATGCTGCTCTACTCCTCAATAAGCTGCTCAGGTATAAACTATCTAAATATGCTGCTCTACTCCTCAATAAGCTGCTTAGGTATAAACTATTTAAATATAAACAGTTTATTTGTTAACCTACTTTGAATAATTTCATCTGTTGATTTGTTAACCTACTTTGAATAATTTCAACTGTTGATTTGTTAACCTACTTTAGATAATTTCATTTATAAAGCAGTTTATTTGTTAACCTACTTTGAATAATTTCATTTATAAAGCAGTTTATTTGTTAACCTACTTTGAATAATCTCATTTATAAAGCAGTTTATATGTTAACCTACTTTGAATAATTTCATTTATAAAACAGATTATTTCTTAACCTACTTTGAATAATTTCATCTGTTGATTTGTTAACCTACTTTAAATAATTTCATTTATAAAGCAGTTTATTTTTTAACCTTCTTTGAATAATTTCATTTATAACGCAGTTTATTTGTTAACCTACTTTGAATAATTTCATTACTGCAAAATTTGAGCAGCTTGCCGTACCGAACCGACCATAAGGTATGTAGGGTTTCCACGAAACAGTCAATTCTCTTGCGCAACAGTTGCGTGGTTTTGCACGAAATGAGTTTTTTTGCACGAAATTCCGCATAATTTTCGTATTAATACGAAACCAGTTTTGCACGAAATTGCGCATTTATTCGAAATAAATAATTTTTTTTGCACGAAATTTCGCATAAATACAAAATTTAAGTCAGAATTGTTTCATGATATTCGCATAAGTACAGGTCATTTTTGCATGTAATTTTGCAATGCCTTAAATTCGAAAAATTGAAATTTTTGTACAGCAGTGTGCATGAAAACGAAATTAATTTGGCAAGGGCGTATACAGAAATAAACGTTGGGGGTGGGGGAAATTAAATATGCGCGAAGCGCAAAAATTGTGTTTTGCCTCCCCCCATCCAAGAGCTTCAAGGGGGGTCCAAATTTGAACCGTAAATCCAAAACATTTGGCTTCTTGGATACTTTGAAGGTACACATACACATCCAATTACCATACAAGGAGTACTTTATCTCTCCTTCAAACAAAACTAGCAGAAAAAAAAGCAAATCAATGTTTTTAATACTCTTCACTCTTTAGTTTCAGATTTGAAAAGTGTGATAGCTCTGAGCCCCCCCTTTACAGGTCTAGGTAGGGGCACTACCCCCTTGCCCCCCTGTATACGCCCTTGTTTGTTGCATGCCATATAGTGCATAAATATGAAAGATTTTAATATTTGGACAGTATATTGGTGTGAATTAGTTTCAGTAAAAACAACTTCCATCTAATTGGTTTAATTTTGAATCTATTCATCATTTCCTGGAATTGTTTCTCGAAATTTAACGAAATAACGAAACAATAGGAAAGAACGAAATACGCAAATACCAAGATTTTCTTCAGAATTTCCACGAAATAGCTTTTGCGCAAAAACAACGAAATTTCGTGCAATTTTAACTCGATTACACGATTTTCGTGCAAAAATTTTCGACTGGAAACCCTAAAGGTATGCCTATAAGATGAATATGATAGTTGATAACAGACTAAAAATATCTTGATTGTCACTCTTTTTCCCATCTCACGGACAATCCATCGACTAGAGCAATGCTTAAATTTATCAATGGGTTATATACTATTAAAACAAAATTTCAGTAATTGTAAAAATAATTAAATAGCCATGAGTATGCTGGAACAGTTTTTAAGAGCTGCATATAATCATTCAATTGAAAGCTAAATATCTTTAGTATTCCATTATCAGTAAGTTAAGAAGACGACATTTTATAATTTCGTTTTATGACTCGAAGTACTGGGTTAAACTGTATAAATGTTTTATTATTTCAGACTTGGAGCTCCATCCTGCCAGGTTTCCATATTTACCAAGTATTATAAGTGATATATACTTATATGTGATATTATAAGTATTATAAGTGATAAATCTTCATAGAAAACACTCTTAACCTCTAGGTTGCAAAGATATATGGATTAGAAAATTTGATTTATTTTCATTAATAGTTTAACTCAATTTAAATATATTGTTCAGACAATAAAAAATATGTTTTTTAATGTATTATAAAAATTTAAAATTTTTATTTCCAAAATAGTATGATTGACCACTGACCAGTCTATAATTGCAAAATAATATGATATTTGTCTGATGGTTTATTTAGTTATTATCATAAAGTAAGAAACAAGGTTGCAAGGATTCATGAATATTAATAAACAAACATTATAAATTAAAGGGAGCGTTCTCGAAAAATTAAAGCGTGCATAGGCTTACGACAAAACATTGTTGATTGTGATCGTTTCAAATCTAACTTCTATCTGTTGCGTCTTTAAGGAGAAAATTGTCAAAAACTACTCTTACCGAAGGAGGTATAGTGTCCATACAAATTCAGAAAGTTGCAACATACTATAGATTTGAAAAGAACTTAGTAGTAAAAGCCAAGATTGAGTGGAATAACGAATCATGGTTGTGTACAAAACTATATTTACATTTTAACAGTACAAATGGTTAGTGCTGGACCAACTAAAGATCTAAATACACACAACATTTGCCTGAGGTAAATAAATTTCCATTTGAACCTTCTGATCAGATACTTCGTGAGAACTGGCTTGGAGCATAAGATGGCCGACAACACTGCGTTCTACCTTGCCTCTAGAAATGCCATTATACTCCTTTCTCCAGCATCGATCCTCCCCTAGCTTCACCCTTTAATGGTACCGACTTTATATCTACCAGATAAGAAAGGGTTCAATACCCTTGCTGGTCTAGCCTGTTGTCTACTCAGGCTGTAAACCTACTAAAGGTTCAATATCCTTGTTAGATTGTTTGGCTTTATTCTTGGATTGGATTGGTAGGCTTTATTTCTCTGCTTAGGAGCAATGAACTGTGCGGTACTATATACAAGTTGAGAACCCTTGGATTAGGTTCACACTACAACTCGTAAAAAATCAATTCAATTCCAAACAAATCATTCAGATAATACAACCTATAATATTTATAATTTTTCGACGCATTCAAGCTTATAGTTGATATTTCAAAATATATTTTATTTGATTTATATACAATGTTTTCCGCTAGGTGTCTCCGCCACGTGGAAACATTCAGAGCATCGAGAGCAAAGACACCTTGTGGCCAACGAATCATTTTTTTGCGAACACTCCCTTTAAGTGCAGTCGTCTCTTTAGTTTTATCCTTCATTGTTACCCTGTACCTTCCCTGCCGGTTCTCTAAATGTACCAAAAATGAAGAAAAAAAAATTCAAAATACAAAATATTGATCATTTACACTATATCTCTCTCTGTAGTTCAAAGATAAAGTTTATATTAATATGTACTAGTATAAGTTAATCATGATTTATATTTTAAATAAAGATATGAAAATTTAAAGATTTAAAGAGTATTATTTAGAATACACAGAAAGTTTATTTTAATCGGTGATTGAGCGGTAAGTCCACGCAGTTTATATTTCATTAAAACAAAAAAGATTCTATTAATCTAAAATCTATTGTCAAATATATGTGACTAATGTAATTAAAGCCGAATTTATGAAAATGCACATAAGATTATATAGATAAGCATAATTCAATAGTTAGGAACTTATTTCTTTTAACATCTTCGATATTTAAGCTATTAATTGAGCTCCTGCTTTTACTGAAATTTGATTGACCAGTAAGTAAGGTTGATAAATCGTAATAATCAGTTTTTTTTTTTAAAGAATTTTTACAATTTTTAAAGAGAAATCAGCAAAAAGTGTTAATATTTTAAACGACAATTTTTGGAATTAGAACTTCAGAAGAATAATTTGCTTTTAAACTTTCAAACCATTCTAAATATCTAAAACTAAGGTCTCCGTACAAGTTATCATTTACATATCTTTCCGAAATACAAATTAAATTTTCTTAAAATTATAACTTACTTCTAGTCTATATGGCGCACAATGATCCAACGGTTGCCAGCTCTCATTCAAACTCTATGAAAATGTTGTAAAAACTTGGTATAAAAACTAAGATTCAAGTGTCTAGGTCTCAAAGGAGCATAATTAATATACTGAGATAAAATCAAGGCCCAAAGATTGGCGACATTTTTAGGTTGACCCAGTCTTGAAAATTTATGAAACTATATTTAGAAGTTTCGATCCTTGTGGACTAAATGTCGAAATGATTTGATATGATATGAATAAATTACGAAGAAAACTTTAGGTTTTTCCAACAGATTCAATATCATACAGGGTGTCCCAATAAACATGGAAATTCAGTGACGAATTGGATATCGTCTTTGTTATGAATTAGCATTGCAATACCTAATTTCAAAAGCCATATCATTATTATGTCTGCTAGAGTTTATTTTATGAAAGGAAAAAAAGACTGTAAAGATGTGTCTATAATGTCCCCGCAAGATGAACAGTGAATACAGACAAGTTCACTCTGTTTGTATACTGCAATTTTCTTGTACAACCCGTATGCAGTCAAAACATAAACAAACAAATTGTAAACATAGCAGACGAAAATCTTACAGATTACAGCTTTATCAGTAGGTATCACTATACTAAATTAAAGAATTATTTAAAAAGACGATATCGAATTCGTCACTGAATTCCCATGTTTATTGGGACACCCTGTACAATTATACATTAATATTACACAAAAGCTTTNCCCCTACCCCTCTACACCCCCCTCCCTAACCTCAACTCTCTGTCCTCACAGTTGAGAGGTGAGCTAGCCGGCAGCTAGTCATAAACAGGTAGAAAACAAAACAATCTATTTATATTTGTATGTTTTCAAAGTTAGCCACGAGCTTTAACTCGGCGTCAATTAGAACTTTCGCAAACAAATTCGGAACTTAATTATAACTTGGGAACCCAGGTTTGCTTGGAAACTAAGGAAAACTTCTCAACTTAGAATTTTATTGGGGTTCTTCCAAAGTCCATAATCTAAATTTAAGGTAAATCGATCCAGGGAATACTTAGTTGTGATCGGATAGAGAAAACCATTAAATTTTGTACAAATAGGTACAGGATGTCCTAAGAAACATAACGGCTGATCGATATACGACTTAAAGGTCGTCTTTTATTTATGAAATAATTTACGACTTTTATTCGTCACCTGAATTTTACAAGTGAATTCTTGAAACAAAAAACAAATAGTTCTAGTTCCGGCATTTCCAAAATGTATTTTGAGTTTTTTTGATGCTTTCGAAATTACACAAGATTTAAATGATTTTTGACAAAAGTTGTTCAAAAATAGATTTAAAGTCTATTCTAGATGCGATGGTTCTATTTTAACGTTTTTGTATGCATATACAAATCTTAATGTCACATTGTATCACTATCTAGTAAATATCCCTATATCTTTACAACCCAATGTTTTAGACATTAGATATTTCAAACTTTAAATTCTGTTAGATCAAAAATTCTAAGTATAGAATATCAAAGATTTACATCAACAGATAGCAAAGATAAAGGGATTAGAAAACTTGAATTTGTGGCAAAAACTTAAACCCTGTTTGCCTTGTAAAGTATAGTTGAGCAATGCAATTTTATTGCAGTTTTATGTCCTAGAAATAATATTGTATATTTTGCGATTTCTCCAGTTATACCTTTTTACATCATTTCTACTTATAGTTTTGTACTTTTGTTTTGTTGTCTGTTTTTCAGCAAAGCACAACTAAATGTCTGGAGAACTCACAGCTTGATCTAAAGGTTGCAAGATATGAAAGTTGTCAATTACATTTTCAAAACTAAAGATAAAAGAAGTTCAGGACTACAAAACTAAAGATAAAAAGAAGTTCAGGACTACAAAAACTAAAGATAAAAGAAGTTCAGGACTACAAAAACTAAAGATAAAAGAAGTTCAGGACTACAAAACTAAAGATAAAAGAAGTTCAGGACTACAAAAACCAAAGATAAAAGAAGTTCAGGACTACAAAAACTAAAGATAAAAGAAGTTCAGGACTACAAAAACTAAAGATAAAAGAAGTTCAGGACTACAAAAACTAAAGATAAAAGAAGTTCAGGACTACAAAAAGTGTAAATGAATTAGTCAGGTAAAATCGAAGGCCATGAATTTGCGACAATTCAAAGTCGATCTGGATTTGAATATTTATTAAAATTGTCATTCCTTTGTAAAAAGCTGGTTTTTTGGTATGCAACAATTTTCATTTTAATCCCGCCGGGATATTTTCATTAAGAGATACTTTGAAAATCTACAAAGGCAAAAAAAAAATCCGCAAAATCTGCAAGCCCTCGAGTTTATCATTGAATCCCCTCTTTAAAAAGGGATGTCATTAACTCATAGACAAATTAGAATCAATGGAAATTTAAATTAGAATCAATGGAAATTTGCTGTCTGTGTCTCTGTGAACCCTTTTAACCCTATCCCGATTCAGCTATTTAATGGTAAGGGTAAGGGTGCAAGGGAGGCTTTAAAAAAACTCCTAAAGTACGTCAGAAAAATGTTGATAAATGCTTAATTTTAGTTTTGACAAATATTAACATGTTTGATGTATGTTATGAACATGTTCTTACATCTATTTTTTAAGGGCTTTTCAAACAAATTAATTTGAAGTCAAACCTTATAGAAATCCAACGTATAGAAACTGGTACGTATAGCAACAAGGCGTATTTTCCGGGAGAACATTTTTTATATTTTTGAGAAATTAATAATCAGTGTAAAGTAGATATAATTTTCATAAAATCCTTTTGTTTAAATGGTAAAACGGAATTTTATGAAATGATATTAGTATTACTGGAGAACTTTGTTATACTTTTAACATTTTTTTCTTCTAAAAATAAAACTGTAGATAGCATTTTTAGAAATTTTTTTTAACCCTATTCCTGCTGCAATTTTTGCAAATTTGTAAATTTTTTTTGCAGATTCGAAAAGTAGAGCACAAGAGCTTTCCAATGATGTATCATTTGTCATAGGGGGGGAGGGTGTCATCACTTTAATCTCTTTCCATATTTTACATACTCCAATATTATGCAAACGCAAAGTTTTAGTCAGATCTATTTTTAATCTTTTTAGTGTGCTGGGATGCAGGAGTAAAGCATTCAATAGTTATTATCATAACAATAACATTCTAGTCTTAGTCGAGGAAAGGAAAGACAACCATAACAATTTCTCGTCCGAGCCACCTCGAAATCTTCGTCCTTCCCACTGAAAGACGCTTATTTGTAGAACATCGTTAACGGAGCATAATTATTTCACAAATTTAAAACTTGTTAGGGAAAATTTGATATTTCATTTATATTTTCATCTGCAAGGGTTAAAAAAAGATAATATTGGAGGAGCGAGAATTTCGAGGTGGCTCGGACGAGAAAATGAGGAGAATATGGCTCGGAGGAGAAATTGTTATGGGTGGCCTACCTCCTCCTAGCTATTCTATATTTAGAGATTGAAAAATATCATGGGTAATAATGCTGATTTAGAGATGACAAGGGAAAAACATATTTTTAATTTATGAAAAATAAAAAAAATGTAGATTCATCCTCCAAATCATGGAGAGGGGGGTCGTTATTCTACACTTTGTTCCTTTTGATTGTATAACAAAGATTTAAACAGCTTTGAAAATTCATCAACTGTTAAGACCGGATCACCCCTCCGGCCTCCATGCAAATATGGCAATGTTTGATTCCCAACAGTACTCTTGAAACCTTTTTCTGATTAATTATGTGGAAGAAATAATCAGTTTTCTATATTTAAAAGTGTTTAATTCTGATAATTCCTGATTCACTTTTACAGAGAAATCATAGGAAAAAATAATCAGTTTTCAAAATTAATAATAATTAATTTTTGATAATACTAAAATCAGACAAAGTTTTTAAGGTTGCCGTTGTGAATCGGGCATTGCCAGCTTTGCTAGGAGAGTTACAAACATTCAGTGTAAAATTAGAATATGCAAAATAACAAAATAGAAGCTATGAAGCTATATGTAGGAAAAAACGTGATGTAGATTTGTTAATTTGAAAATAATAATAATTCCTGGATCACGTTGTAAATTCCACGGACATTGACATGTTTGTTTCCTTTATAAAGTATTTTCTGTCTAGGCATGGTCATCGTTTGGGATTTAAAAAAAAATATTTTCCGTTTTCATTAATTTTGAAAATCGTTTTGGCTTCAAAACGAATCTATTGATTTTCAAAACAATCGTTTTCTATATTTTCAAACAACAAACGATTGAAAAAATGGTCAAAAAATATTAAATGAGTTCAAATTTAAAAATAAAAATGAAAAATATAATATTCCGTAGAAGCGGAGGTACATAGTTTTTCGTTTCGAAACAGAAACAAAAAATGTTTTTATGCGTGTTTTGTAACGGAAACGAATTTTTCGTTCAAAACTATGGTTTAGAAATTTTCCAAAACGACTTCTTCGTTTTGGCTTTAAGCTAATCGTATCGAAAGTGTCCAACACTAAATGTGTTACGCACTTGCACCTTGTACAAACACATGAAAAACAAGTATTGAAGTGATGGGGCTGGGGGGGGGGGGATATCCAGCAAATAAATACAAATATTTCTTGTTTAGAAAATGGGAGATGTAAAAGTGTGTGTTGTCTGCAGTGAAAATATCAACGATCGGGCGATGAAGGTATTTCACGCTAAACTAAAGTAAATTCCACACTTCAGATTCAAATATTTCATGTTTTCAATAATTACTCTTCAAGTTTTTTACTCAGAAAATCAATTTAGAATTGAGCAACGAAGGCACAAAGTAATTTCGCATACATTTTATCCTGTCTGTTATTAACCAAAAATAATTGATAAACGATTCTATACAAATAATTATTTCTCATCTTATTTATACATTTTTGGCTTTTTTGTCTCTTTTTGTTTAATCATTTTTTTGTTGGGGTCACATTTTAGTTTAGCCGGCACACGTTACTCCAAATTGGGAATTAATTGTGGTTTGCTTAATATCATTATTGTGATTGCGCTACGAGAACTTAAAATTCTAGTAAAAAAGTACAGTGGTAAGAGATTATATCAATATAATAAAGAGGACTTTTTTAAAAGTTTTGATTGTTAACAAGCTTTTTTTGAATTACAAGTTTACAAGTAATCACATAGAAACTTTTGCAATTGACAGATTTTCTTGACTTCTATGTGCAGTATCCATGCTGTTTAACAGCTCGAAATAAATCAAAATTGAAATCTAAAATCATCTTCACTATATTGATATAATCGCATATCACTGTAGAAAGAAAATGTCTGCATCATAATTCATGGATGGTTTAAAACTGTATTTTAAATATGAACCCAACTTTGCCTGAAAACTAATATTTCCCTGTATAAGTCAAGCTCCTCATATTTATATTATTATTTATATTAAAAACCATACGAAGAACATTACTGTAGTTAATACCCAGTTCCCCAATCAAAATAATAAGCCCATCAGTCATAGGGCTCCTGAGTTATGATCGGACACACAAACTTACAAATTTACAAATTGAGATTTCTCATCTATATAACAAAGATATAAATTGTTCAGGCCAAAGACCAATTTTATCATGAGAAGCATTTTACCTGTATTGTCTGCTCACAAAACCTCTGCAATCTTCCAGTATTTTCCAAGTAAGGTTTCATTGCAGAAAAACCCAGAAGTTCGAATACAAAGAACGAATTTGTAGAATGTCGTCTTGAAAACTATCATGTATCCAAAGCAAGTAGATTTTACTTTTGTGCAATCACGGGCCCTTTAATTTCCGCGCAATTCCGCACAATTCAGCACAATTCCAGTTGGAAACCTTACGGTGCGGCCTGGTGCAAATAAAAGGATTCCTAAAACTGTCTTTTTACATTTTTCCTATACTGTCAACGGTTTCAACGCACAGCAGCATAGAAATTTGCGTTATTTACAAAAAAATAATCAAAATTTCTGTGTTGAAATCAAAGTTTTTTTTGTACGAAAATTATCTGATTTTGTTAAGATAAAAAACAATTACGAAATACACATAACGTGACATCAAACAGCTTCATATAATTGGTCGCTGATTGTTTAATGCACATATCTCGATTCATTGAAACACAATCTATGATACTTGCATGATCTATAGAGAAAACGCAGTTTGAAAACGTGAAACCTAAAAAAATGTTGTATAGTGCGATGTTACAAGGAGAAAAAACATGTTTTGATAATATTGTGACAAAAACTGTAATTTGTTTTTCAACGTAAACAGAAAACTGAGTATCTTAATATCTGGTAAAAAACTAAATTAAATAAAATGTTTTCGGTCAGTTCGATATAGTGAACACAATGTTACTGTCTCACACAGCCATCTTGATTCGTGGAATTCAATACAAGGAGTACATAACACCTGCAAGTATTGATATAGCTTAAATACAAGGAGCACATAACAGCAGCAAGTATTGATATAGCTTCAATACAAGGAGTACATAACAGCAACAAGTATTGATATAGCTTCAATACAAGGAGTACATAACACCAACAAGTATTAATATAACTTAAATAAAAGAAGTACATAACAGCAACAAGTATTGATATAGCTTCAATACAAGGAGTAGATAACAGCAACAAGCATTGATATAGCTTAAATACAAGGAGCACATAACAGCAACAAGTATTGATATAGCTTCAATACAAGGAGTACATAATAGCAATAAGTATTGATATAACTTTAATACAAGGAGTACATAACAGCAACAAGTATTAATATAACTTAAATACTAGTAGTACATAACCGCAATACATATTGATATAATCTAAATACAAGAAGTACATAACAGCAATAAGTATTGATATAACTTAAATACAAGGAGTAAATAATAGCAATACGTATTTATAAAACAAATATCATATATAAATAACTACTCAAAACTACTCTAAAACCTTTTAAATATTTTAGATTAAGATAATGTAATACAATAGAAACTTTCTAAACAACATAAATAACCTTGTTTTCATAACAGAGTAGAATATTATAGAAAGCTTTAGGGGTTGAGTGGGAGAGGGGGGGGAGATGTTCGACCAATAGAGCATTCTAAGATTTTGCCAACAATGATTTCTCCTCATTGTGGGGATTGCTGTTCACTTCTGATTGGTTACCTATACTCTCATTATGTTGATTGCTGTTCACTTCTGATTGGTTACCTATACTCTCATTGTGTTGATTGCTGTTCACTTCTGATTGGTTACCTTTACTCTCATTGTGTGGATTGCTGTTCACTTATGATCGTTTACCTATACTCTCATTATGTTGATTGCTGTTCACTTATGATCGTTTACCTATGCTCTCATTGTGTGGATTGCTGTTCACTTCTGATCAGTTACCTATGCTCACATTGTGGATTGCTGTTCACTTCTGATTGGTTACCTATACTCTCATTATGTACATTTGTTCACTTCTGATTGGTTACCTATGCTCTCATTATGTGGATTTGTTCACTTCTGATTGGTTACCTATACTCTCATTAAGTGCATTTGTTCACTTCTGATTGGTTACCTATACTTTCATTATGTGTATTTGTTCACTTCTGATTGGTTACCTATACTCTTATTATGTGGATTTGTTCACTTCTGATTGGTTACCTATACTCTCATTGTGTGGATTGCTGTTCACTTCTGATTGGTTACCTATACTTTCATTGTGTGAATTACTGTTCACTTCTGTTTGGTTACCTATACTTGCACAAATACAACAGACAACATATGTTAACTACTAACCTTAAATACAATAACAAAATTCGGACATAAATATTTAAATATGAACAATTGAACACAAATTCTAGAAAAAAGCGTTTACAAATTTGCCTCGAATGTTTGAACATAAACGTTTTAAAATGAACGTTCGGTTATTAAGGTTCAAAACTGAACGTTTAAACAACAAGTAAACGTATTATTTAAAAAAATGTTAAATAGAAAATTTGATTCGCATATTTAATCAAATACATTGCGATCGTATTTATTTAGACTTTTTTAATATATTTTAAAACTATATTTTGCCACCGTTCCCCTAAACGTATTACTGAAGTTTAAGTAAAACTGCTGTTTTGTGTTAATTTAAAGTTCAACGTTGTGCCTTTTACAGTTTAAACTTGAAGGTTTATTTTAGATCTTTATAAACAGAGGTTGCGATATTCAATAGTTAGTTGGTTATATAGTTATAATATTCAATAGTTAGTTGGTTAGATAGTTATAATATTCAATACTTATAGTTGGTGTGATAGTTGTAATATTCAATAGTTAGTTGGTTATATAGTTGTAATATTCAATAGTTAATTGGTTATATAGTTGTAATATTCAATAGTTAGTTGGTTATATAGTTATAATGTTCTATAGTTGGTAGGTTAGATAGTTGCAATATTTAATAGTAAGTTGATTAGATTGTTATAATATTCAATATTTATAGTTGGTTTGATAGTTGTAATATTAAATAGTTAGTTGGTTATGTAGTTGTAATATTCAACAGTTAGTTGGTTAGATAGTTAGGATATTCAATAGTTAGTTGGTTAGGTAGTTATAATATTCAATACTTATAGTTGGTGTGATAGTTGTAATATTCAATATTTATAGTTGGTTAGAAAGTTGTAATATTTAATAGTTCGTTTATTAGATAGTTATAATATTCAATAGTTGGTAGGTTTGATAGTTGCAATATTTAACAATTAGTTGGTTATAGTTATAATATTCAATATTTATAGTTGGTTTAATAGTTAAAATATTCAATACATATAGTTGGTTAGATAGTTAAAATATTCAATAGATATAGTTGGTTAGATAGTTAAAATATTCAATTGATATAGTTGGTTAGATAGTTAGAATATTCAATAGATATAGTTGGTTAGATAGTTAAAATATTCAATAGTTATAGTTGGTTAGATAGTTAAAATATTCAATAGATATAGTTGGTTAGATAGTTAAAATATTCAATAGATATAGTTGGTTTGATAGTTAAAATATTCAATGGATATAGTTGGTTTGATAGTTAAAATATTCAATAGATATAGTTGGTTTGATTTTAATATTTATTAGACAGTTTGTTTGGTACTTGCAGTTTTACAGTTATTTTATATTTTTAAGGTCTAGATGTTTATTATCTCCGTATCGAGATTATATTAAACATTATTTTATTTTTATTTTTATTTTATTAATAACGCTTTTTTTTCATAATTTGTGAATCATTATAGTAAAAACATTAGTTGTTAAAAAGATTTTGCAGGTTTAAAAAATACATCAAACTATTATTTTTCTCGGTATTTTTGCTTTTGAAGTTAAAAAAAATTGTTTTTATTATTCAGAAGCTTTTATATTTTATCAAAATTTGATCATTGAATTTTTTTTAAATATGTATAATTCAAAACAAAATAAGTGTAATACTTGATATCAGCATATACAAAGTGGAATTTCACACCAGTGACAAGTTTGTTTAGAACAAAGCTAAGAACTTTTGGTTGAAATGAAACTATAATCCACAAAACCTTAACTCATTAATTAGTAATTCAGAAGATTAATCCCTTGTGGGGAGGGGGGGGGGGGGTGGAAGATAGTTGTAATAAGCGCAAATCAACAAACAAAAAACATTTGAATTCAAAGGTCTTGTGGTTTGGTGGATTAAATGAGAGCAGAAACGTGTTAAATAATTGAGTTAAATTAAACTTAAAATAAAGAAAAGAAGCTCAATTAACATGCCGAAAAATACATTTGGGTGGTAAGGATTACACATTGAGGTGGTGTGCTGTGCACTCCCTCCCTCGAACAACAAGTGTGCCGCATATTATGCAAAATAATTCAAGTCTGGCCTTGTATTAACCCGGCTTTGTTTTATTACGGATGTGAGCAAGGTTCAGCTTTTTCCATTTATTATCTTTAAAACATTTTAATAAATTGTGTACAGGAAATACAGGAAATAAAAAAATATTCTATTCCGATTTTCTTGGTTTTATTTCTTTCCATTTTTTATTTATTTTCCTCTTTTTCTCTTGACTGTCCCTGATTTTTTGTAGGATTGTGTGCGGGCCATGGATGAGACATGGCATCCTCAACATTTTCAATGCTACGGATGCCTCGTTCAATT